ACTACGCACTACTACTCTGCCAACGCCATTGCTCCACTACAATATTAATACTCCCCTTCTGTCTCCGTCCCCCTCCCCAGGCATAATATTTTGGCTCCCCTTTCTTTTCACATAGTTAAAGGCCAAGAAAGTGAAAGTTTCCCTAAGTTTCAGGGGTTTTTTGGTTTGTTTCAGCATATATTTTTCCTTTTTTTTTTTCTTTATTTACCATATCTTTGATTAATAACTTTTGGTGAATGAATTATGTAACATACCCTTAATTACCATACCCCTTTTTCTTATAATATTAAGAACTTTCTTCAAATCCTAGCCTGATTTCTGTCATTCTCCTCGTTTTTTGACAGTCATCTTTATTGCATTCCTTTGGGCATCGTTTTGTCAAAATCAGATGTGTCCTTTTTATATTAAAAAGAAAACTTCAGTGTTACAAGGACATTATTAATTCCCTATTTTTGAAAAATTTTTAAAAAACCTTGGTTTTTTAGAGATTCTATGAGTTATTTACCCCCTGGGTACCTGGGAAAACAGAGGCCCTTTTTATATGCTATAACAAAATAATAATATTTCACAAAGTACTTTATACAATTTAATTTGGAATATGACATTTTGGCTACCTTATATAAAGCCCCGGTTTTGCAAAGCATTTTTTGGGGAAACATTAAATTAACAAAAACTATGGAGAAATAAGTTGGTTTACAAAAATGTTTTTAAATTTGTAATCTTTTACATTACTTTTTAGGGTTTGTTATTTTATTTGTCGTTCATGCCTTTTGGGGCCCGCATCCATCTGTTCCCTTTTCTCATGAGGTGCCTTTAAAAGGTTTTTTTTTTATTGAAGTACCGGAGTTTGCTGTGGTTTATCATGCCCGTCGGGTAAACCAAAACAAAACAAAAATTTTGGGTTTTAGGGGGTTTTACAATGAAAAATACAATTGTTTCATTTTGTTTATTATTAATTATAATTTAAAGCATTTGATGCCTCATTTTAAAGGGTTTTTTTTTTATTTACAAGGGACTATTACATGTTAATAAAAAAATATTTTGGGAACAAGTTGTTTTTGGCCTTCATACCAGTTTAAAGAATTGTCATATTTATAATTTTCCTTTATTTTTATTGTTTTAATTATTTTCATTTCTAAATGAAATTATTTGTGTAATGTACCATATATATTCTTTCTGAAGTTTTTGGATTGGTTAACTAGGGGGATACTGAAAACCCCAAGCTTGACCTTTACCATTCTTAGATGTACGATGATTTGAGTGTAAAATTACCACAAAAATGGTAATTTGTACTAATAAAATGTTAAGAAAAAGTTGGCAAATTTGAGATCCTAAAATGTAGCCCTATTGTTTCCATATGTTCTTTACATGAAGCTAGATTTTATAAAACGTCAATTTTTCCCAGGACTTATCGCTCGGGCGTTGTGAGAGAGGTTTACTATATGTAATACAAAAGTCCCCAAATTGGTATTATCATATAAGAAAATTAAAAAAAAGCTCTTCAAAATTGTGTGGTAATATCTAGGGTATTGTTGGGTTGAAAATTCATAGGTGTACTTTATTTCATAAAGTAGCCACCAAAAATTATGACACTAGGTCACCTTCATGCAATGGTGGAGGTTTTTGAGTTGCTTATGCCCAGAGGTAAGGGCCTCATCTTTGCAAGAAGTGACACTTTTTTACTGAGAAAAATACATTTCCCACATCAAAATTTTCCCTGACAAACACAGCTGATATTTTGGGAAGAAATTATGAAAAGGGATTTCAGAATGTAAAAAATAGTTTTTTTATTTACTTGTGATCATGATTAATGAAACAAACGTGATTTTTCTTAATTTCATGACATTCTTCTAGTGAATCCATTACTTCTTGATGTTTCCTTAGTTTTGGGAAATGAATTCACAGAAGTAGCAAGTTAATAATCATATTGTAATTTGGTAATCTTCTTAGTAAAATAAATTCAAACAATAATTCCCACTGTTTTAATCTGGTCTTATACATACCGTAGATACTCTGATATCTGTGGCATTGAGTTTTGGAACATTTGTGAAAGTTCCCAAAAACATTTTTAATTAACCCAATTTTTAAAAAAGAAATTGAGATTCTTTTTTAAAATAATCGTAATGTATATACTACAAAATACAGTAGGGCCCCACTTATATGGCAGGTTGGGTTCCAGGCTACTCCCAGAAAGCAGAATGCCATTTTTTCCACTTAAAAAATGCATTTTAAATGCCAGATAACAAGTTTACACTTACATATATTAAGTTACAATAGAAATAGGCATTAAAAACAATAAAAAGTAAAATACACACACACAGTACACCCATTACTTACCTTAAAATATTTGTAGTCTTAATGTAGGAAGTCAGGTTTGCGAGGTATCGTACCCAGCCAGGTCAGCCCATTTCCACGTCACCCATATGTAATTTTACTACGACATTTAATTAAAGAAACCCACAGTGATAAAATACATGTACAGTACATTCATTAATGATCTTAAAAATAATAAATTAATTTTGATGTGGTACATGATTGTAAAAAGGGAATATAATATTTTTGCCAAAAGCCCCTTGCATGCAGACATTTTGGGCAAACTTAAATTAACTTGAGTTTAATTTAAGGCATAACAACATTAAATGGTAATTAGATAAATTACAGTGAGTACAAGAGAATTGAGTATTAATAGGTAATGCTATATGGCTTTAGTAAATCTAGTAAGAAGTGAAAGGCGAGTTTTATTTGTAGGAAGTCAGGTTTTGGAAGTAGGGTAGCCAGCCAAGGCAGCCCCCCCTGCCCCACCCAAACCCACACATAATGTAAACAACCCGGGCGAACACATCTGGCTTTCGTTCATACAAGTTGGTGTTCTGAGCACCTCTGCAAAAACAGCGATTATGTTGAGTGAGGTGAAAGTGTTGAATGATGATGAAAGTATTTTCTTTTTGGGGATTTCTTTTTTTTTTGGGGTCCCCCCGGGCTCGGTGGGAGACGGCCAACTTGTGAAGAAAAAAAAAACACTTTACATTGTGTACAAGTTTGTCCCCACATTAATACATGACATCAATAAAGAGAAACACACTCATTCTCATAAACACCATTTTTAAAAGATATGACGCTGAGTGAAGGCATAATGAAAGGGAAAAATTTTCTAGTTACCCCCCATAATATTATATGTAACACATTTTTTCTGATGTTTGCCTGGCTACATCTCATATTTGTTAATTTTTCCACTGTGGGGTGTATTATCTGTTTGTAAGTTACATAGCATGTTTATTACATAATTTTGAAAAAAATTTGTAATGGATTAATGGAAATGTCTATATTATGTAATATCGACATTTAATGCACCCAAGAGATTACTTTATTGTTTTTAATATGGCATTGAGAGTAGAGAGACTCTTAGTGATTTTAATTTTTGTAGCTGCACGCCGCACAGTGTTTTAAGTATATTTAGGTACAGGTACACAATGTATAATTATCAGAGTATATATAAAATAGCAATAACTTTAAAACACTTGAAATTTTGGAAAGCTTCTAGACATAATAAGATGTGCTCACGGAGAAAAATAAACAAACCCGGGTGGGACGTGCTGTATTAGAAAAACTGGGAGTCGTATACAAGTTTTGGTCATAATTTGAAATCACCGTATTAGCGGAACACCGTAAAGCAGGGCCCTACTGTATACAATAATTCAGAAAGCTCATAGATTTCTGTTTTTTGGGGAAACTTTAGACTAATTTTAGGAGCTAAATATTTTAATTTTTATCCATTCAGGATCTATATGAGGAATTATCAGGAAAATAGATAAACCAGTTACCAATAATTCATAAAATAAAAAATTTAATTGTCTGGTTGTAAAAGCTTAAGTGGAACTAATTTCCCAAATTAAAATATAATACAATGTTAGTTAAGAACATAAGAACGAAGGAAACTGCAGAAGGCCTACTGGCCCATGCGAGGCAGTCCAAGTCTCCTACCGGCTTAAGCCAATGCACCCAACCTAGTCAGGTCAGGTCACATTGACTTAAGGAGGAACACGGCAACCGACCTGGTAGCACAAGCTATCAGGGCCCAAATCTCACCCACCACATCCACTCATGTATTTATCCAACCTATTTTTAAAGCTACACAACGTTCTGGCCTCTATAACTGTACTCGGGAGTTTGTTCCACTCATCCCCAACTCTATTACCCAAAAAGTACTTTCCTATATCCTTCCTGAATCTGTATTTTCCAACTTAAAAAACCCTTGCTGCGAGTCCTGTCTAGGCTAGATATTTTCAGCACACTATTTACATCCCCTTTATTTATTCCTGTCCCTTTCCCTTTATACACCTCAATCATATCCCCCAATTCTACGTCTTTCTAGAGAGTGCAGATTCAGGGCCCTTAGTCATCCTCATAGGGAAGGTTTCTGCTGAAGATTATTTCAGCAGATATGGATATAGAAGTTAATACATATACAGAATTTTTCTGTGTTTAAAAATTTTGGGACAACAACTATGTCAAATGAAAAAAATTAAAACATAAGGTACAATGATAGAAATAGAAAAAAATTAGTAGAAACCAAAAATACAGGAAGCTGAATAATGCATGAAAGCTCAACAAGCAGGTTTCAAAAAAATGTTTGAACATAGAATAATGCTCTCCATGATTTTCAGCTCCTTCATAGTAACATTTTATCTTTTTCCAAGCAACAATGCCTTATTCATATTTTGTGTACCAATGAATTTCATTTCTGCAGGTTTTAATTATACGTCATCATTGCTTATCCTGCTCTTGCTGTGAAAATCATTCTTAGCACTGTAGGATATTTATTTGTATTAAGGTATTGGGGTTTTTCACATCCCTCTTATGATGTAGTTCTTCTTTAGTAGTAAATCATGACAGGGAATATATTCTATCACAGTCATTGTACAGAACACACATTCAGTATATACAGTAGTACTTTTATTTTGTGATGCATAACCTATTGTAATATTAATTTTTTTTTCCAGGTCTGGAGTTAGGAATTCTTGTTAATGACTGTATTTTCCTTCTGAAGAATGGGAGAAGTTTGATAAAAATCACATTGCCCCAGATTAGATGGGCAAAACTCTCATGTTATTACTGTAGTGAAAACACATTGCAAGTAGTGTTCTGATTGCCAACAGAACAGCTGTAGAAGGAAGTGGTTGACATATGTAAACTGGGCAAATAGTGTGATCCATCATTCATCTCTCTGCCATGGCATTCCATGGCTGGAAAAAATGTGGGATGGGGCCCCAGCCCTAAAAACTCACGAGAGAGCTAACGATGAATTATATCGCCAGCGCCGGCAGTACTGGAGTCAGTGCACATTTGGCATTACATTTGTTACTGCTGACAGGAGAGAATAGCATTAACGGCCCACCTTCCTTCAGCCACCCCATGAAGTGTATTATCTTTAGCTAGCCAATCATGGATTGGAATTAAGTTTTCCACAGCCAGTCAGGTAACCCAGAATCATGTCAGGTGGTGTGATCAGGAGTTTGGGCCGTGATGTAAGACCTGTGATTCATTTAGAAAGAAGTTAGAATGACTAGTATATTAAGTTATTTCATGTAAAGCAAGTGCAACTTCTTGGGATTCTTAATAGAAATGAAATGAATTCCGTTTTGTTACTTGAACTACATAGTGAGAACCCCAGAAATGAAGAAGAAAATTTCCACTTTTAAGATAAAATGACAATGATAGAAAATCTTTGAATCTTGTGATCTACTTCTACATCATCATAATTAACACTCCAAATTGTTCTTCTATTCAGGAAGTGTCTGAATGTGAATACTGTATTATTTATTTTTTTAATTTGTTCATAAGAGCCTGCTTGTAGAGATAGGTTCTACAGTCTAGTAGATTGAAGACAGGCTTTTCTTCAGTTTAATTTTCAAATATTTCTTTAGAGATTTTAACTTAAACTGTGTTCTCTATAGAGTTTATCTATATCTCCCTCTTGATTTAATGAATTCTTGACTTGTCTGCCTTAATTTACTTACTAAAACCTATTTTCACACAATTGACTCAGTGTGGCCACTCATCGTACAGTCCTTGGCTGTGTTCGATATCATTGAACAGTCAACACAAACAAAAGTAGCTTTCCACATCATTAAACAGAGGTGAGCTCTCTTCATGGACCTCTACTTTTTGGATAGAGGGTAGCAGTAGGCAACAAGCAGGAGGGAGTTGTTGTAATGCAGCCTTTCTGTTCCCCGTGGCTACTGTCAGCCACAAGTTCACCAGTATAGTTAAGTAGACTGAAAAGTTGACTTCCATACACTCATATCATTACAAGTATTTTGCCAGTATACATAAGATATATAAATTATTACTGCAATTAGCAAAGATGAATAAATCCCTCTTTCCCCACAATTTTTTACACTCAAAGCTCATGTACATATAATTTCCCAATACATATGTGAGAAACAAATAACTTATTTTCTGATATATTACTAAAATAGATTAAAGCATTATATCTTAACACTACCTAGTAACATTTTCTTCTACTTGCCATTTTTTTTTTTTTTCTGAGAGTTGAAAATGTATCAGGCCCCATGCTAGTTATGCCTTTGACCAGACAGGCTGCTAAACCTTTGATTTCACTGTGCTAAAGTATTTTTTTTTTTGTGAGAACAATAGAATAATGTTCTTAGGGTGACACTCGAAGTTAACCAGCTATGGGGTCGATTTAATTTTTTTTTAGCCAAGAGTCGTATTCACTAGTTGTGCTGAGCTCAGCCAAAGAACTCATTCACGTATTACATATAATATATCATGTCTGCGTTTATGTATATGTACTGTATGTTTATATATATATATATATATATATATATATATATATATATATATATATATATATATATATATATAATAAATATATATATATATATATATATATATATAATGCATTAAAAAGTATTGTGCAAAACAGGCAAAGCACTGTCAATTAATTTATTACAGTAGAAAAATGGATATTATTTGCACATTATGGGAAATATGTATTGCCTGTTGTCTTCGTTAGAGGAATTTTATCATACCAATGTGGTGTACCTTATTCCAATATTAAATTATAGCTAAAATAGCTGAATCTAATAAAAAAAAGCTAGGTTGAGTTAGAGCAGGTTTGTTAGATGATTAGCAATTAACCCGTAAACGTCCAAACGTATATATACATTTTTTCAACATTTGAAAGTATGTAAACAAAAGTAGATTTCTTTTTGTTTTTCTACATTTGAAAATGTGTAAAAAAAAACTTTGATCTACTTTTTTTTTTTTGTTTGAAAATATGTAAAAAAAAAACTTAGATCTACTTTTGTAGCACTACACACGTGAACGTAGATCTCCTCAGACTGTTTACGGGTTAAACTTGGCTAATCATTGTAATTCTTGCTCTTAACTCGGTTATTCAAAATAAAAAGGCAAGGTTTTCTCTAATGATAAGACATTGGCATTTTTCTTGTTACAAAACTAAAGCAATATTTATCAGTGCACCCACGTTGTGATGGCAGTTAGTAAAGCTCATCAACCTTTAGAGAATAATATATTAGAATAACGGGCTGTCAACAGATGGGCTAAAATAACATATTGATACATCAATGAATTTTAATTACTTAACTTATATATTAAGCAGTTAAATTATACAGTGAGCCAGACTGAGCTTTAGCTAATGAGTTCACAATTAACTCTCCAAATTTGAGATGGAAACTGGATGATGTTTTCAGTCTCCCTGGGATCCTTATCTAGTCGTGCCTTGATAAAATTTCCAAGATACACTGAAATGCTATTTAAAATTTTATCTCCAATTTCTGGGTTTTGTGAATTTTTTTCAGCCATGATATTGTGACTTGTTCTTTACAATATGAGCTGTCAGCGGGGCGGGTAAAGGGATCTAGCCCGGCAGGGCTCTTGAGTACGGGTCTTGAGCGGGTCGGGTTGATGCAGTCGCAGGGCTGCTCCTTAAGTTACTTACATTCCACTGCATATTTCCTACTTTAATTAACCCCTCTTTGCAATTTATTTAACTTTTCCTCAACTGTCATTTAGTACAGAATCTTGCAATAGTTTTTGTTCCCAAAAACCAAAGGAAATATCAATAGAATGCAATGAGAGTTTATTTTAAAGTGTTTTGAAAGTGAAACATTTTCCCCATTTTAGATATTTTGGCCTTTCTTCAAAAGACATAAATTTCATACAGGGACTCCAGTAGTTGAAATCCATGCCAAAATCTTCTAGTGGATTCCAAAGGAAATTTTTCATTATGGTAAGACGATATGGGTGGGTTTCCCCGTGTCCAGTGCATGGGTGTTGAGTATGAATTGGCCTCTGTCTCCCTATTAGTAGCAATGGCTGGTGTCTTTTGCACTGTCTTTTGTTACAAATGGGGTGATTTGGCATGATGTTTCATCACCCATCTGGCCGGCAACCCCGTGGTTTTATTGTGTGGAAGTAGATGTCAAGCTAGAAACCCTATTGTTTTGAATTTCAGCGGAAGAATGTTGTTGAGTGCCTGTTAAACTGATTTATTTTAAGTTAGAAAGATATGTATGGATAGAGATTTTTTTATTTTAAGTAGGGAGAAGATGAATATCAAACAAAATGCAATTGTGATACTTATAGAACATTTGACTGTAAATAGTAAACTAACCCATCCAGGGCCTCGCACAGCTTCCCAGGTGTATCTTGCAGTAGGTACGGGACATCAACAGATTTGGCATAAATGGCCACTAAGTCAAAGCTGCTTGGTGATCAGGTTCATCTCTGACACTCAGAGAAGTTAGTGTTTCAGGTTAGATGTTATCAAGTCTGGTAAATTACATAATTAATATTAAAACTATTTATTATCATATAATTTTTACACAGGCCCTAATCTGTGATGGGTTCACCACATGATTTTTTTTTCTCAATTTTTTTGACCTATAATTCATGCAAAATTGCATAATGATAATTTGAGTGTTATAGTTGCATAATGAAAAGTGTGTGCAACATCTGCAAAGAGAAACAGAGTAATATTTTCTCACAGTGCATATGTACAGTTGGGGACTTTTAGCAGTGATTTAGTCAAATTTCATTTTAATGAAACTACCATATGTGTAGAAAAATTTGACCTTAAGAGGGGTTTCAGTATTGAAGCACACATACATACATACCTAATGAAAAACTTTGTTTCTTCCTTTTCGGTCACCCTACCACAGTGGGAGACGGCCATTGTGTTAAAATATCTAAAATAAAAAAATATAAATTTATTTTAATTTTTATTTGAAAGCACTCAATATGGTACAGTATTTTTAATTATCAGTTGTGATTCCACATCATGCATGCTTTCTTGAGGAAATATCAATAATTGGCACCAGTGTGTGGTTGTTTGTCTACATTCTTGTAATAAACTATTATAATTGTACTTGTATCAAAGACAGAAATGTGAGATCGCAGACATAAATTTGTTTTTGGAGGAAATCAGAATGAACCATTGCAGTGGAAGTTGGTTCATAAGACACTTATTCAACGTATTTTTTGAATAATTTGTCGTAGGTATATCTAATTTAATTTTGTCTATTGTAGGGCCATTTCCCACCAAGGCTGGGTTACCCCGTGAAGTAAGCATTCATCACTCACTCCATACATGCCTTTCTAAAAAATACATGACAGTTATATCTCGTGTAATACCATATAAGAGTTTGTATTGAGCGTTTTATCGTAATTCATCTAAAACCACTGCAAAAATATAGAGAATTTTGGACACCTTGATTGCCTTAGTAAGTTTCAAGATGAATAACACACCATGCCGGGGTTTCAGTTGTGTAATATATATTGAACATTTAAATGCTGTAAACAGATTGAAAAAATTTTATGGGTTCTGCATTTGAGATTTATAGGGTTTAAGGCTCATCCGGCCATAAACATCCCCTTAAAATTGTAATCAATGCACTGATGGCTGTGCCAGGCAGCTGGAATGGCAGAGGGTTGAGATGTTCCTAATGTCTGTGCTTACAAACGCAGCCACCTCACAGCCTGT